TCAAGTTTGTCACTGGCATTTGGCTTAACAAGTAGCTACAAGCCTTGAAAAATGGATTAAGGGTAGGCTGGGGCCCACAAACAGACCACTGCTGTGTTATCGCCGGGACACGGCCACACGCTGTTGGGGTTGAGCAGCCTCAGTGTTTTCCCAGCAGATTATAGGATAGACTTGAACCTGCTCAGCTGAGACAGAAATCACGGGGAGGCACCCTCACCCGAGGGAGATTAGCTGTCATGCTCTGACCTTTCTGTGACTTGCAGACCTATCTCTACCCAAAGCCATTTCGCCCAGAGATTATCCTCTGAAATTGCTGGGGTATGTCATCCTTCTGACACGTCCAACAACGAGCCACAATTCCTTATGCTTAAAGTAGGGTAGCATCTTTCAGAATAGGGAAAACTTCCTTGAAAGGGAGAGCGTGCCAGCCTTGTTCTGTACACCCAGAAAGCTGAGGAAACCTCATCCTAAATGCTCTGAGAAAACAGCTTTTTTCTTCTCCCTTTTGTGGGAAAGGGAAGGAAGTTTGAGACTTATGTTTTTCACTTTTCCCTAGAAGATAAAAGGTTTAGAGTACTTACAGTTCACCTGACATGAGTGCGCTACTTTTCTTAATCTTTTGGTGATACGAATACTCAGCCATTACAAAATAAGCTTCCTCATCTCCTTTCATATAAAAGAGCTGCTATGAAAGCTTTAAATAGCTACACTAATAACCTAAACTAGTGACAAAGAAGTAAAAATGTCCAGCCCTCAGATCCTTCGATGCATTCTTTGACTACTCACTCAAATTTCTTAAATACTGTAATTACAGAAAATTCTGAAGCCATTTTCAACAATTTATAATTACCTGGCAACAGACATCAGGTTGACCTGACACAAGCATGGGAACAACCACCAAGAATCAGATCTTCAAATCTCATAGACCAATATTAATCAATGAAGCATAAGGAAATGTAAATAGTTACACACACTAATAAATAAGAGTATGCTTGTGGGAATATATTTAGTGATCTAGAAACAGCTTGAATTGATTTAGATACAATTTAAATTGCTGGAAAAAAAAAAGGAGTTATACAACCCGAATTATCTGAATTTTTGGCTCAATGGTAAACTAAACAACAAACTTGCCCTTCTACTCTGAAGGGTTGTATAAGAGGGAAGTAAAAATATTGCTGGAGGCGTGATGGCTCCCTGTCCCTCCTTAAGAGACCTCTCTGCTCCAGCCAGGGGCAGAAGGGAGGACGGCATTCTGATTCTGGGAAACCTCACTATAAACTAAATATTCTGTTCAAAAAGCAGGTAAGAGCACTCAGATAAAGATTGGTAAGGAATTAATATTGAACAAAATACATGACTTAAGAAAAATGCAGCAGACTTCACTCCCATATCCTTTGAACTGCTGTGGATGATGTTACAGCAGAAATCAGGATACCTTCAACAAAACACCGTGCCACAGGAAAATACTGCTTGGAAATTGCTAAGCGCTTTTCATCCCTTACCACAGATTAAACCCAAACATCTTTAGATAACTGTGAAGGGTGTTTTAAAGTCATTAACAAGGTCAGCTATGCTACTAGTAAAACAGGGAAAAAAATGAACATAAGTAACATCCATGGTTAACTACTGTGACTTCAGTAAGTTTGACTTTATGGAGCACCTTTAACCTCAGTATTTCCTTTTTTTCTAACCACCAGGTTGTTTAGAAGGCACACAGCTCTCCACATAAGGCACCTCTATCTACAAGGTTTGAGACATGAGGAGCACCTTCCACCCAAGTGCATACAAATCTCACAGAGGTGATGGCACCTTCAGGGCCCTCATGGGCACACA